CCCGGGCACCTGGAGTTGGGGCCCGCGGGGTGCTCATGCTGCGCCTCCCTGCGGGGAAAGACCGAGTCCGACCTAGGCTGGCAGCGCTGGATATTGCGCACCGGTGCTTCGTGCAGGACATGGCGCACCGCGCCAGCATCAGGGCGGACGCGCCGATCAAGGCGCCGACCTCGCCAAAGGCCACCGCGCCCAACGTCCAATGAGGAGCCACTTGCGCTGTCTGCGCCGCCCAAAACTGCGGGGTCAGTACCTTCGTGGACTGAGTTTATCGACTGCGCAGCCAGCGCCCAGAACTGGAAAGGATAGACGTCCGCGCAGGACTGCAGGATGCGCCTCCGCGCAGGATCACGGCGGCGGCCAGCGCGAAAAACGCATTGACATCACATGCGCGCGATGAGCTCGACGGGCCAGTTGATCTGGCATTGCAAGCCGAGGAAGCCAAGGACCGACAGAGTGAAGCCGCATCCTTGAATCCTGTGAAAAGAGCTATGCCGATAAGGGTGAATGGGCCCATGGATGGACCTCCGCACTGACCGCCTGGCAGCCCCAGAGACTGCGGCGCATGCTATCAGGCGGACTTTTTTGAATTGCCCCAGTTCGAGGCCCCCAAGCGGCCGGGGCTCTGGCGCGCCGCGCCGGCGGGGCACATATTCACCGCGCCGCCGGAGAAGCGTCGAGCACTCCGACAGATCACGCAAACGACATTTCGTTCGGGAACCAAAGGGTTACCAGCATCGGCGGCGCGGATCAGGGGCGGCGTTCGCCCGGGGCATACTTATCACACAGGGGGCATAGAGCGGCGGCAAAGATGGTGGCAGACATCGAACAGGTAGACATGCCCCAGACCACGATCCGCACCGCCATCGCGGCGCTGACTGAGAAACGCACGGCCGACCAAACGGGCGCCCCATCGCGCAGATGCATCGGCCCGCCGCCCCCACCGCGGCGCGCGCGGTCCAAGATCCGCCGGGAAGACGCCCGCGTTTGGAACGCCAGACATCGGGTCGCAGGGTCTTGGAAGCTGCATGTGCTCAGGCCCTCAGGGCCGAACGCGCTGGTTCTGGCCACGAAGCGATCCGCGCGAGAGCGATCCTGTGGGATCTCTCGGACCACTCTGAAAACGTGAACAGGCAGCAGTTGAAAACGAGGGCCCCCACCAATTGTTATGGACATCATCGCGTGCCTGCTCATGTGTCAGCATGATGGGCCCCAAGGTCGCGGCGACTGAGACTTCGGCCACCCGCGCAGGCTGCGCGGCCCAAATTTGTCCAGCAGGGTGCTCCTGCCCCACCTCGAGCACTCAGATGTACTGATCGTCCCGTTCTGGACGTCTGGTTTCTGAAGCACCCCACCATGGAACCCTCTGTTTACACTGGCGACTTCTATGCTGACCAGCAGCAGCGTCAACGCGCACCATTGAATTTCGGACCCGGCGAAGGGCGCGGACAGCATGCTTGAATGGATCGAAATGGACCTCGACTGCACGACTGCACTACGCAAGGCCGTGGTTCTGGGATGTCGAGTTGCAGTCCACGCGAAACTTGCCGCGGCAATCGGCACTTATGCCTGACCATCTGGCGCTTAGCCAACATTATCACCAAGCCATGAAGACCATTTTGCCGTAGGCATCCCCATCAAACAAAAAGCCCGCCTGACCCTCAAGAGAAGGACGGTGAAAATGAAGATGCCAACCTCTGGGGCCATAATGATGGGAGTTGACTTCACAGGTTGGAAGGTCGCCACCTACTACGGCACTGGATCGGTGGAAGTGACGAATCCTGCGCTCCGAGACGCCAGAACCTGTCCCTCAAAATGGTGACGCCCCGATGTGCTACCACGTCTAGGTCATTAGGGCTAGCTGCTATTAAACATGTACTTTGCAGTGCTGCGATGGAGCCAGCGCGTTGTTGCGCCCGCCTGGTATGGAGGACGGGGGCGCACTGTAGCACTGGGGCCTTCGCGGCCCCCAGCCTTCGGGGGCAACAGCAGAACGGGATCCAGGGCCCGCCAAATCGCTGGCACCGATCAAGAGGGCCCCGCGGGGCCACGCTGCTCTCGCGGAGGCACTTGGGACGGTCTATGCCCAACCCGTTTGTGATCAAGGACGGCGCTGGCTAGAAGCACCCACTCATCACGACCTCCTTTGCCATCAGCAAGAAGATGTTCCACGAGCAAAAGCACAACCTGTCGCTGCAATCTGCGTCGGCTGTCTTGGAGTTGGAGGACGTGTGAACGTATCAGTGGCGCTGACGGCGTTGAAAAAAATGAGTCATCTACACAAATAGCATGAGCATGTATGGCAATGCGCTTGAACGGAGGAGAAGACGACCGAGGCAGGGTATGAATGTCAGGTGGAATGTGAAGTGCGCGGCGGTCCTTGTGATTCGCTGTCACACCAGCTGAATCCAAGCCCCAGGCACGACAGACGCCAGTGATTGAAGAGACTGCATCAATAAATGCAACAGGAGGTATACGATGCAACGTAGCACAAGAAAGTCAAAACAGCACCCAAAGTACCACCAACAACACCAAGTAGACACAAATCAACTAAGACACAATACGGACATGAAACAGAACACCCTCCCTCAAGCCAGGATAAAGAAGTGCGCGGCGGTCCTTGTGATTCGCTGTCACACCAGCTGTGATATTGTCCAGAAGTCCGTGAATTGCGCAGCCATCCCGGTCAGGACGGAGATTTCGAGGCTCTGGTGGACAAGAACCGTTACTACCCTTTTCGTCTTCGATTTCCAGACATCACCCGGGCCAGTGGACGTGAGACTCCAGGAACGGTTCATCTGACGGCAAAATGCTGGGCCAGGGACGGGGGAGATATTGCTGAGGCCATGGTAGGAGGGGTGTTCCATGATGGTGGTCGCATTATAAAGCCAGGCCAAAGAAGTTACGATGCCCCAGCTTGAACTGGTGAACCTGCATAGTCCCGGTCTAAAGGCTGGGTGGGCGCGCGCAAACAACAAAACTCCAAACTACCTATCTTCCTTGCTCAACTCGGGGCTACGGTGAACCGTTCGGATCCACCCAAATTCCATGAGAGCCCTGTTGACCCTTGGGGGCGACGCGGCAACGTGGAACCCGAGCTGCTCAGCAGCGGGAGGGGGGGCAGGGAAGCTCTTACCGCTCCAGAAGCACTACCAGCCTGGTCCCCACGCAAGAGTGATTCTAGTAAAGTGGCATGAGTGGGGGGACAAGATGGCGAAAACTGCTGCGGCTACGGTACCTGGCCCGTCCACTCAAGCCAAAGCCTTTCATCACTGTGGGCCCCACTGGCGCTCCCAAGACTGGGACGAAGGATTTCGAGACGCCAACCCCAAGTCGACGCTCATCCGTCGGTGCGGCAGGAGCGGCCATCACCTGGCTTGCGCCACACCCGCCGCCTCAAGGGCCCCGAAGGTGCCTGAGGCACACCTAGGCCACGTTGCTGCATGCTTGAAGCTGGCTAAATATCCTCTGGCCCTGTTTGATCTGTCACTCGCGCGCGCACTGATAGCACGCGCAAGTCGAGATCCAAGGAGATGTGCTCTGGGAATGCTGCCTCCTGGTCTGCCTTGACCAGAGCTCCTAGGAGGCACGACTTATATGTGTGTGGGTCTGTGACTATTTCGCTGTCCACTGCTTTCTTGTGGTTGCCGCTCTCGTGGGCCGTGCACGGAGAGCAAGCTTCAAGGCGTGAGGAAGGATTGTAGCAAAGAGTTCAGAAGCAATTACTCGAAGGGAGCCTGGTTGCAACTACGGTGCGGGTGTCACCCCAAAGACTCCAAGAAGTCAGCACCCCGTCTCGGTCGGCCGATACCCGCAGCCCAGCTCCTGTGGAGAGGCGCGCGTGGAGGTGCCCGATCAAAGGCAACGAGCGACGAGGATGATACTGTGGCCATCGGAACCCATGGTATCGGCCCCTTGCCTTCCCCCTTGAGCTGTGATAGTCCTCGTCCTCCTTATCCACCTCCTCCTTCCACTCATCCTCCGCCTCGTCCTCCTCCTCTGCTCCCTCCTCCTCTTCCTCTCCTCCTCCTCCTCCTCCTCCTCCTCCTCCTCCCACCCCTCCGCGTCATCCCTCGCACCCTCCACCACCCCCTTTCTCCTGCTAACATGAATACCACTGGAAACCGTAGTAAGACAGAGCTCGTCCAAGCATCTCATGATAACGACAGCCTGCGAAATGATTCCACCAAAACGTCTACCGTCGTTCTGCCGCCTCTCCCTTCTCCCTCCTTCTCCTCCTCCCTCCTTCTCCTCCCTCCCTCTCCATCCTGATCCTCTCCATCTACCCCCCTACACTGACGAGCCTGATCCAATTATTCCTGTCATGTTCCTCCTCTCACTCCTCCACCCGTCTCCCTCCCTCTCCAAATATTTGTCGGGCCATCGCGGGCCCCAGGCGCCGTTCAGGGCGATCCCAGCAACCCCAGCACGCCCTCGACGAGGCGCAATTGGAGACAGACCCAGATAACCAAGAACAACTCCGAGAGCCCCTTCGGAATCATGCGAAGACCCTTGCAGACGTCAGAAAACCCTCCCTCGCTCCACATTCCCTCTTCAACCTACACCCTATCGCCCCATCCGCCTCCAGTGGTGCAGGGACGAAAGGGCACAGGTTCAGGAGGGCGAGGAGGAGGAGGAGGAGGAGGAGGAGGAGAGGGACGAGGCCTGTTGCATGTGTAGGCCATTGCGCCTGAGTCGTTGTTGTTGCATTGCGCGTTTTCTCGCATGAACGCCACAAATTTATATTGATGATGCCCGTTCAACACATGACGCCTCCCCTAGAGCAACAAAAAACGGCAGATACATCGATTGTTAGAAGGTAGCGGGGATTTCTTGGATCGGCGCTGGACCCCCCTCCCTGGCGCGCGGAGCGCCGCAAGGGAGGCCCCAGTTGCGCCGCAAGGGGGGTTAAACGCCGATTCAAGAAATCCGCGCGGAACTCCAACAGTTTATGTGAGTCCCGTTGTTCGTCGTCGATCCCCCTCCCCCGCTCACCGCCCGACCTGGTGCGACAGAGATGAGGGGCCCTCGCTGCAGAGCATGTCCATGTCGATGTCGGCGTACCTGGCCGCCTGGCAGGAGGGACGGGATCGGCCTACACCGCGTGGAGAGAAAATTCTCCCCGAATCGAGCGCGCGTCGCATCTTGAGCAACGGCCGACCGTCCTGCCAGTGCTTTAAGCCTACCGCGAGATGTTCTTCTGACCAGAGAATGTTCTAAGAACGAAGACAATGTGCTTAGAACGTCCAGGCAGTCCCGGCCAGAAATGTTGTAAAACACATTTCAAGTAAACCACAAACTGTTCTTAGAACATTCTTCGGAGGGCCTATAGTCAAGCCAAGACGCTTCGCTACTGCTTGACAGAGGGACGGGAGCGGTGGTGCCGCATGGCAAGACGATTCTCCTCGCATCGAGCGTGAGCCGTGAGCCGCATCGGACCACACCGACACGGAGTCGGGATTCGGCTGCATAGTGACCTTTGGTGCGCGGTTTAGCAGGAGGCCAAACACAGGCGCGCAAGCCGCCGCTATCGCCTCGCACTGGGCGAATTTCGGCGATTGGGGGGCCCCGTTGGTCCCGCACCGAAGTCGGGGAAACGTGATAATCGGGTTCATGGGATTCGGGTTGGCCTGACAGGGCCATCATGAAAATGACGAGACCAAATCTGAAATTTTACGCGACCTCTGCAAACATCCCACAAAAACTGAACCGCCGAACTCCAGAACGTGCTCGCCAGAAAGCGTCGGCAAACCCGAGCTCTGGCGTTCTCGAGTCTCACGCTTCCCCGACCAAGGTCATTCCGGCCAAGGGTCCCTCCTGCGCGCAGCCGAGGGATACATCCCCCCGTAACGTGGCCAATCCCTGCCCTGTTCTGACCCTCGGTGAGACCGACCTGCTGAATGAAGGATTGGGCGCCCGAATCATCAGGGGTAACTCGGGTCCGGGGTAACTCGGGTTTGGATTCCCGAAAAAGGAACCCGAGTTAGCCCTGACCCGAGTTACCCCTGATGATTTTGGTGCTCTGGACGCCCGAATTATCCGGGGTAACTCGGGTCCGGGATAAATCGGGTTCGGAATCCCGAAAAACGAACCCGAGTTATCCCTGACCCGAGTTACCCCTGATGATTCGGGGCTCTGAAAGGATGTCGCCGGCGCCTCGGCGACAGCCGAGGGATGTCGGATCGAGACGCGGCAGGGGCCGATCGGCCCCCGGGGGAGGCGAGTGCCCGCGAGGGCGCGTGGCCGTGCCCGGCCGTGGGCCGCTCCACGCGGGGCCGGGCTCGGCTCGGCGCGCGAGGAGGGGGAAGTGAGGAGGAGGAGGCCCTCTCCGAGGGCGACCCGACCCACGACCGAACGACCGACTGAGTCCCGACGCCGGCGGCAGCTTTCGGGGCTGGAGGGTCCAGGTTCGAGGTTCTCTCGGCGTCGAGCGAGGGAGGGGAGTGAGAGGGAGAGGGCCTCCGCGGAAGGCGACGGGGCTTCTCAGAAGCCCCCTTGGCCTTCTGGGAAGTCCTCCGTGTCTTCGGGCAAGGCTTGGACAGCTTCTCAGAAGGCCCGAGGCCTTCCGAGCCTTCTGAATAGGCCCGCCCCTACTCCTTTCGGAGTATCGCTTAACCGATCCCCATCCCCAGCGGCGTGGCCTGGGCCCCCCTGGCCGATTTACCCCACTAGATGGGGATATAGGTCGTTCCCTTCGGGTTTCGAGGGGTGTATCCTCGACTGGGGTGGTAATTTGGTGGGGGTCTCGAAGGGGATGGAGGAGGGGGATGGGGATCGTGTAAGGGATACTGACCTCCCCCCCCTCGCTCGCAGCCGATCGGTGACAGGGGCGGCGGGCGCGGGCCCCTGCCTTGAGGTCGCCGTCGGGCTCGAGGCGGGCGGAGCGGACGCCGGCGGCGAGGAAGGGGGGAGGGGGAGGGGCGGACGGGGAGCAGCGAGGGCAGGAGGCAACTCCTGGGAAACCTGCGTGGCGATCGAAGCCCGATGGAAGGGCCACCTCACCGGACCAGGCCAGATTCAGCTCAGGATCAAAAAGAAAAAGAAGGAAAAAAGAAAATAAGAAAAAGAAAAAATGCAAAATATACAAAAAACAAAAAAGTATAAACGAGAACAAAAAGAAAAACAAAACAAAAAAAAGGGAAAAAAAAAAAACCAAAGAAAAGAGAAAAAGAAGGGGAAAAAGAGGAAGAAGGGGAAAAAGAGCAAGAAATAAGAAAGAAAGAAGGATCAAAAGAAAAAAAAAAAAGAAAGAGTAGCACAAATGAAAAAACTAAAAAAGTTTTCCCCAAAAAAATAATAAAAAGGATCAAGAAAAAAAATAGCAAAGTGAAAAACAAACCAAGAAAGTAACAAAACTAAAGCCCGATTGGGCCCAGAGGAAGCCCGTCACCAACCGCGAAAATATAGTACCGACGCCGATGCAGAGTTGAGCTTCCCAAGACTTGAATCCTCGGACATCCGCGTGAACTTATTGCATCGGCGCTGGGCCCTTCTACTGGCGACTCTGGCGCCACCCCTGGAGCACTCGGAAGGGGGTTCTTGAAGGTTTATGCCGTCCACATCGGACCGAGAACTCGCCCACCCCCGTGGGCATGATGATCCTCCTCGCTTGTTCCTCTTCCTCAGACTCTCCCTCCTCCTCCTCCTCCTCCTCCTCTCCAAGTTTCTCATCCCTCTCTTCCACCACCTGCTACCCCCCCCCGCCTGCATCCTTATAGTATTACTTTCCATCCTCTTCCTCAATATCTCCACTTGCTCCTCTTCGTCCTTTTCTCTTCCCCCTCGTCATGTTCCTGCTCGTATTCCTCGCCCTCCTACTCCTCCATATCCTCTGCCTCGTCGTCCTCTGCCTCCGCCTCTTCCTCCTCCTCGTCCCCCTCTTCCTCTTCTTCTCCTCCTTCTCCTGCTTCATCATCACCATCAGCAGCATCAACAGCAGCAGCATCAGCAGCAGCAGCATCATCATCATCATCATAATCAGCATCAGCATCATCCTCATCATCAGCATCATCAGCATAATCACCATCACCATCCTCCTCCTCCTCCTCCTCCTCATCATCATCATCATCATCGTCATCATCAGCATCAGCATCAGCATCAGCAGCATCAACATCAGCATCAGCATCAGCATCTGCATCAGCATCAGCATCAGCATCAGCATCAGCATCAGCATCAGCATCATCATCATCATCATCATCATCATCATCATCATCATCATCATCATCATTATCAGCACCATCATCATTAGCATCATCATCATCATCATCATCATCATCATCATCATCATCATCATCATCATCATCATCATCATCATCATCATCAACATCATCATCATCATCCTTTCATCTTCGTCCTCCTCCTCTTCTTCCTCCTCCTCCTCCTTTGCTTCCCGTCCTCCTCCCCGTCCTCCTCCCCGTCCTCCTCCTCCTCCTCTTCGGAAGTCCGACGCGGGCATGAGAATCCTCCTCTGTAGTCTCTCCTGCTGAGGCTCTCGCTCCTCCTCTTCTTCCTCCTCCTCCTCCTCCTCCTCATGCCCTTCTCCTCCTCCCTCCTCCTACCCTCCTCCTCCCTTTCTCCTCCTCTCCTCCCCCTCCTCCTCCTCCTCCTCCTCCTCCTCCTCCTCCTCCTCCTCCTCCTCCTCCCCATAATCCTGTTCCTCCTCCTCCTGGGTCTCCTGCTTTTCCTGCTCCTCTGGCTCGCCTCCGCTTCCTCTGTGTCTTCAATTACAGCATCGTCCTCCTGTCCTCCTCACTACCATCGTCGTCGCCATGACCGTCATCAGCATCATCGTCGTCGTAGTCAGCATCATCATGATCATCATCAGCAGCATCATCATCATCAACATCAACATCATCATCATCCTCATCATTATCACCATCATCAGCGTCATCATCATCATCATCATCGTCGTCATCATCATCAGCATCATCATCATAATAATCGTCGTAGTCGTCATCATCATCATCATCATCATCATCATCATCATCATCATCATCATCATCATCATCATCGTCATCACCACCATCATCATCATCATCATCATCATCATCATCATCGTCATCAACGTCATCAGCATCGTCATCATCATCATGCTCATAATCAGCATCGTCATCATCCTGGTTAAACTAAAAATAATACTAACAGCATCAGCATCAGCATCAGCATCAGCATCAACATCTTCATCATCATCCACAACTTCGTCACACTCAGCTTCATCAGTGCCATCGTCGTCATCAGGATACCCATCAGCATCATCATCATCAGCATGATCGTCATCATCATCATCATCAACGTCATCATCATCATGCGCATCATCAGCATCAGCATCATCATCACCACTACCATCATCATGAGCATGAGCATCAGCATCAGCATCATCACCAACCTCAGCATCATCATCATCAGCATCACCACCATCATCATCATCGTCATCGCCATTTTCATCCTCATCCTTATCCTCTGTTCTTCTCCTCCTCCTCCAACCTCCTCAGCCTCCTACTCTTCCGCTTCCTCCTTATCCTCCTGCTCCCGTTGACTCATACTCCTGCTCCTCTGTTCATCTCCTCCTCCTCTTTCTCCTTCTCCTCACTTCCCGCTCCTCTTCCTCCTCCTCTCTTCCATGCTGGCATTGTCTTGCTTTGCTGCCCAGAAGTGTCACACCCAATCCTACGCCTCTTCCTTCCCCTCCTCCTCCTCCTCCTCCTCCTCCCCCTCCCCCTCTCTCTCCTACTGCTCCTTCTCCTCCTCCTCCTCTTCTTCCTCCTCCGCATCCACTCTAAAGTGGTCCACGGACCCCTCCCGGGTCCATCTGGTGCACGTGTTCATCCCCCGATCGATGTTTGACGGTCCCCATGAGCCCATGAGGCCCCAACGAAGCCCCCAGAAGCATCCAGTCTGCCTTCAAGGATGGAAGAAGGAGGAGAAGAAAAAAGAGTAGAAACAAATTGAGCGTCGTCTTCGTCGTCGTGGTCCATTTTGACGCGAATCCGGAGCGCCCCGGATCGGCGGCAATTGCCCGAGGCCACTACAATATAGTACCAGCGCCGAT